TTATCTCAGAATAAATGTGAAAAAGAGTGACATGAAGATGGAGGTTGAAATCATAAACCATGTGCATAATTGCTTTTATTTCACTGTTTTGTGACAATGAGAAAGAGCACCTCTCTTGCTGCTTGCTAATCTCTTCTACTCAAAAGGACATGACACAACTAAAAAAGTTGATTCTAAAATACCAGAACTTCTGCTTAACTGGTGACCATATCCAAGATCACATGCAATCTGTGCCTTCACTGACAGATGCTTGTTCAACAAATAAACCACTAGAAAGTAGTGAATAATTCATTCTTCAAAAACTAAACAACCTACACCTATAGCTTCACAAGAGAAGGGGGGAGGGGAATCCTTCCTTGATTTATATCCAGCCTTCTTCGGTTACCTATAGACTCTATAACACTGCTGGAATGAATGGTGCCTAAAGAGATCCAGAAAGCTAAGGCCAGAATATGAAAGAAAAGAGTTAAACACTGCAAACAGGGAGCAACCCTAAATCATTCATTTATGGCAGGGGGACATCTTAATATTTATAGACTTTTTTCTGGAATGCCTAAGACCCTGTTGTGACTTAAATGTTCAGTCATCAACTTTCAGTTAAGGGTCAGAAAATATTTTAGGGAGTGTGAGTCAACAAGCCAATAACCTTCAGCATTCCAAAATGTATGTGACTGTTAAAATAATGTACATTTTTAATCGGAACATTTTCTATTCAAAACAATATTAATTAGAAATTAACATTTATAAACACAGGGTTGGTTCATCACTTTGTAAAGAAACAAACCAATAAAAAACCCTGAAGCTTCAAACACTGGCTGAATAAGATTATGTTTATCTCAACTTTGTATAAAGGCAAAGAATGCAGCTCTGTATTGTCTCTAAATCATTGTTGTCCTTGGAGTAAGTCAAAGTGGAATTCCTCTGCATTGTGTCGCACAGAACACTCTCACTAAAGCAGATTAACTAATATGTGGGAAAGTACAAAGCTGCAATAACTTTTGGGTGGGTCTGAATCTCTCACAAGCAAATCCAATCATTCCCCACCCATGCATAGCTCACTAGTGACCTCACCAACTTCCTAAAAAATTTAACAAGCCTTCCAGCCTGCTTGCCATATAATCAGGTCATTGTGTCACAAACCCACCTGTGAACGTACAATAGTCAAGAGTTATTGCAAAATGACCTAAAACTATGGCAATATTTGGAAAAAGCTGTGTGCAGTTTTCACCCCTTAAATAGATATAGGTATATAGTCATATAGGAATTTTCAGTGCAAAACAATATATTATAAAACTTGAGTTTCAAAATATTAGAAAGGATTTCATCTGTTTCTGACAGAAATATTCAAAATCAATATACAAATATGGTTCCCCTTCTCCAGTAATGGTATCCTATTATCTTCACTACCAGTTCGGTAGCGGGAACATGCGCGCATGCACAGAAGGTCCATGACGTCTAGTTGGCTGAGTGGAGCCTCGCAACGCCACCACTACCGGTTCGCCTGAACCGGCAGCATACTACCTTTGCCCTTCCCCTAACAAACTAATGTAGAAAAGAAAGTCTGAACAACAGACTTGTGTATGAATTTGAAAGGAGATCAAAGTTGGCCAATTACTGACCAGAGTTTAGGCTGACCCCAATCCTGGAGGTCAAAAGTAGGACTGAACCTGTACACTATTGATGTTAACTTATGATTGGTCTGTTTTCACCCTGGCTGATGTTTCTATATGCTCTTGCTTTTTGCTTTTCTACTTTCTTTTTTAAATTTTCTTTTAATGTGTTTAGATCTCAGATTATTAATTTGAGATGATCAGCCATGCAAAATGAAATAACAAACAAGTAAACACATACATGTACAAGAGTTGACTTTTACTTACAAGAGTTTTCTTAATGACCATTCAGTGTTAAAATGTCATTGAAAAAATGACTTATAACTGCTTTTTCACACTTACAACCACTGCAGCATCCGTATGGTTATGTGATCAAAATTTACAGGCTCATATTTATGATGGTTGCAGTGTCCTGGAGTCACCTTTTGTGACTTTCTGACAGCAGAGTCAATGGGGAAATCCAGATTCATTTACCAACTGTGTTATTAACATCTGTAGTGATTCACTTATCAACTGTTGCAGGAAAGTCCATAAAATAGGCAAGAACACATCTGTCTCACTTAGCAACAAAAAATTTGGGCTCAGTTGTGGTCATAAGTCTAGGGCAATCTGTATAATATAATCTCTATAATTTCAGTGAGTCAAATACAATTTATATTTAGGCTTATTCATAATATACCAGAAGATATTAACAAGCGTCTCAGGAGAGCACGAAAGGTTGAAGTCACATTCTGGACATTCTGACATTTTATTGTGCTTGTGTTGGTGACAGGAATGTTTCCTGGCTATATACATAGAAAGCAAACAGCAAGGCCAGAGAATGACAGAATTTCCTGGCTTCTCAAAGCACATCTAGTTGGGATTCACTTCCTTCCTTGTGCCCTTTCACTGGTAATGCAGAACAATAAGTCAGAAGCTCTCTATTATTTCCAAATATCTTGCTCATGTAAGAATATCAGACTGTGCTCTGGCCTGGTCAGGTAACACTATAAGAGCACGTTCTTATGATTGCTTAGTGTTTAGATTCTGTAGAAAGGACAGTTGTTATTATTGTTGTGTTGTTAGTTGCGAACTCATGTCCGACCCATTGCGACCCCATGGACAACGCTCCTTCAGACCTTCCTGTCCTCTACCATCCCCTGGAGTCCATTTAAGCTCACACCTACTGCTTTGGTGACTCCATTCAGTCACCTCATTCTCTGTGATCCCCTTCTTCTTTTGCCCTCAATCTTTCCCAGCATTAGGCTCTTCTCTGGTGAGTCCTTTCTTCTCATTAGGTAGCCAAAGTATTNAGATTCACTGAACAACCATGCGGTGATTCACTTAATAACTGTGGCAGTTATTAAAAGGCTGTAACTCACTTAACAACTGTCTTGCTTAGCAACAAAAAATTGGGGCTCGTAAGTTGAGGACTACCTGTATATAGAAAAACAACAGTGACATAACCATAGAACCAAAATTCTCTTATATTTTTTTCTGTTCCTCAAATGGAATAAATGCAAAATATTTTGTGTCAATTCTAACAATTGCAATGAGATAAAAGTAACTTGTTTTGGTTTAATTTCTAAACAGCTAAATAAATATCACAAGCGACAGAATATCAGAAACATGGACCAAATGCTACTGAAACATATGACCTGATAATTGGAGTCAGACTGCTCTGGTTAAAACCAATCTTCTAATTTTCATCCACGTGAACATTATGAACAGGTCCCAATCCTCCTTCATGTTTGTTTACAGAGACAACATGGACAACAACTATTACTTTTTCTATAAAGTTCCAGAATGTCAAAATTAATTCCAGTTAGCATAATAGATATATTTCTTAAGGGATTTATTTTGAGACTGCTCAATTATATTTAACATTTTTTTGTCCAGAATGAAAGTGCGTGGGTTGTTGTTTGAGCTCTGTTCAAATATTTAAGCATCCTAATCTTTATTCTAATTATGCCTGCAGTGGGTTTTTCCAAGCACAGGGGAGCCCCAGCAACAAAGCTTCACTAATGTTTCAAAAATTGCAGGGAAGCAGACTAATCAGTTAAGCCTCTGTGAGAAGGAAACAATGTGCATTTGCTCCCTTTCTAAACAAAATATTAACTAAATTACAGAATCTCCCAGGACAGGGTGAAGAGGATTTCATTAGAGTTTTCACAGTATATTAAACGCATAGTGAACAGGCCATTTATAGATGAATGTGATGAGACACCAACTAACATGATAATAGATTTCAGTGACTCAGGTTTATTTGCAGTTGTATAAACACAATAGTTTACAAACTACAGATTAAGAAGTTGATTTTTTTTGCTGTAATCTGAATGTGCCTGATGAAAGTTTTTTTGCAGCTCTATAACATCCTAAGTGTCAGCCTCCGCTTTGCTACTGCTTCAGCTGCCATTGAAACGGGGAGGGGGGGTATGGTATTTGGGAGGGGAATCATTGTTGTGCTGGAGGAAGTTTCTAGACTCTGAACTGACCACCTTACTGCGCATGTGGAGGAGGAGCTGCCTTTGAGAAATTAAAGCGGCTTTTTGCAGAGGAACCAGTCCTCAAGCGCCCGGACATGGACGCACCTTTTGTGGTTCAAGCTGACTCCAGCACCGTGGCAGTGGTGGCCGTATTGCTTCAAGCCAATAGGCAAGGTAACTTACAACCCTGCGCATACACCTCTCGCAAACTGACTGACACGGAGAGACGTTGGTC